GGCTGGCGTCTCCTTGGGCGAGTGTGAGCGAGCGCTGGAGGGTGAGGGGCCGTGTGACGCGGGGAGGCCTGGGTGAGCGTGAGTGCATGAGTGTGGGTCTGGGGTGGGGGGGGGAATGCAGGTTGGTGTGAGTGAGCGGTCAAGTGGGAGTGTGGATGCATGAGTGGGGTGTGAGTGAGGCTCTGGACTCAGTGGGGGAGTATGAGGAGTGGGAGTGAGGGTGCATTTTTGAGTGCATATTTAAGAGGGTGAGTGCAGGTGTGAGTATGAGTGTGAGCAAGGTGGGCAGGTTTGTGAGTATGAGGTGGAGTTTGTGTGTGAGTGCAAGTGAGTACAGCTGTGTGTGCAGGTGAGTGTGAGCTTGAGTGGGGGCAGGTGTGAGCACAGCCATGTGTGAGTGTGCAGTGAGTGCAGCTGTGAGTGAGCGTAGGTATGTGAGTGCCATCGAGTGCGAGTGCAAGGGTATGAAGGCAGGGATGGGTGAGTGGCGGCTGAGTGTGGATATGAGTGTGAGTTCAGGTTGTCAGTGCAAGTTCAAGCGCGTGCAGGGGCCTGTGAGTGCAGGTTGCATGTGGATGCAGGTGAGTATGAGCATGAATTCAGAATCAGTGAGTGTGGCTGTGAGTGTGAAAGTGCAGGTTGAATGTGGGTTCAGCTAAGGGTGAGTGCAGCTATGAGTGTGGCTTTGAGTGCAGGTAGGAAAATGTGAGGGTGAGTGCTGGGTTGAGTGTGGCTGTGAGTGCAGGTGAGTGCAAGTGCAGGTACAAGAAGTGTGGGTGCAGATGAGTGAGTGGAGGCTCACACTGAGTGGCTGTGTGGGCTGAGTGGATGTAGGTTGAGTGTGCGTACAGGTAGGTATGAGGGTGAGTGCTGAGTTGAGTGAGTGTGACTGAGTGCAGGTGCAAATGAGTGTGAGTACAGGCTTGAGTGCAGGCGAGTGTGGCAGTGAGTGCAGGCAGGGTGCAGGATCACTTAGGTGAGTATGAGGTATGAGTGCAGGTTGAGTGGGCTCAGGAATGAGTGTGGCTCAAGTCGAGTGAAGGCTCAAGTGAGTGTGCCTGCAGGTGCTGGTGAGTGCAGGCTCAAGTGTGGTTTTGAGCATAGGTGAGGGTAGGTGCAGGTGAGTGCAAGTAAGAGTGCAGGTTGTGGAAGGGCTCAGGTACCTGAGTATGAATGCACGTGCAACTAAGTGTGGTTTTGAGTGCAGTATCAGGTGAGTATGAGTGCAGACTGAGTGTCTTGGGTATCAGTGGGAGTACAAGCTCAAGTCAGTGCAGTTGTGAGTGGAGGTTGAGGTGAGTCTGAGTGAGCACAGGCTGAAGTGCAGGTGGCTATGAGTGCAGGATCAGATGAATGTGAGTACAGGTTGAGGTGGTCTCAGGTGAGGGTGAGTGGAAGCTTTGAGTGTGGCTGTTAGTGCAGGTGCCAGTATGAATGTAGATTTGAGTGTGGCTGTGCGTTCAGGGGGTGAGTGTGAGTGCTGATCTGAGCACAGATTGAGCGTGGTCTCAGGTGAGTGGAGGCTCAAGTGTGGCTCCAAGTGCAGGTATAAGTGAGTGCAGGTGCAGATGAGTGCAAGAAGTAGTGTAGGATCAGGTGCGTGCGAGCACAGGGCCAAGTGTGTGAGTGCAGTTCCAAGTGAGTGTAAGTGCAGGCTGAGTGTGGGCTCACACTCAGAACTGCACTCACTTGTCCTCACACTAGGACATGCACTCACACTCATATCTGCACCTGTACTCACAGCTACACTCACTTAAGCCTCCCCTCACACTCATACTCACCTGATGTTGGTCTCACATCTCACCTGAACCCCCACTGCCACGCTTGTCTGCACTCACACTCAACTGCACCTGCACTGCTATCTGCACGCAACTGGCAGTCATACTCACCTGTTGCTACACTCATACTTGCACTCACCTGCAGCCACATGACCACACTTGAGCCTCCACTCACACTCACTTAAGCAGAAGTGTGACAGTGCAGGGATGAGTGCAGGTTGGGTGGGCTCAGGTGAGCAGGGATGTGAGTGTATGCTCAATGAGTGTGGCAATGAGTGCAGGTACGAGCACTGGTTGAGCATGGGCTCAGGTGAGTATGAGTGTGCATGTGTGCAGGGGGCCATGAGGGCAGGCTGAGGGCGGGCTGGAGGCACGCAGGAGGGTGAGTGCGGGTGAGGGTGAGTGTGAGTGCAGGGGGCAGTGGGCTCCGTGTGCCCTGTGGGCTGGGCTACTCTGGCCTCTGGCCCTGTGTCCCTGGGCCGTGTCCCCAAACCCCCATCCCTGTCCCCCTGCCCTGTCCCATGTCCCTGGGCCCGGGCCATGGCCTGTGTCCCCAAACCCCCTGTCCCCGTGCCCCATCCTGTGTCCTCGTGCCATGGCCCGTGTCCCTGGGCCGTGTCCCCAAACCCCCATCCCTGTCCCCCTGCCCTGTCCCATGTCCCTGGGCCCGGGCCATGGCCTGTGTCCCCAAACCCCCTGTCCCCGTGCCCCATCCTGTGTCCTCGTGCCATGGCCCGTGTCCCTGGGCCGTGTCCCCAAACCCCCATCCCTGTCCCCCTGCCCTGTCCCATGTCCCTGGGCCCGGGCCATGGCCTGTGTCCCCAAACCCCCTGTCCCCGTGCCCCATCCTGTGTCCTCGTGCCATGGCCCGTGTCCCTGGGCCGTGTCCCCAAACCCCCATCCCTGTCCCCCTGCCCTGTCCCATGTCCCTGGGCCCGGGCCATGGCCTGTGTCCCCAAACCCCCTGTCCCCGTGCCCCATCCTGTGTCCTCGTGCCATGGCCCGTGTCCCTGGGCCGTGTCCCCAAACCCCCTGTCCCGTGTCCCCGTGCCATGGTCTGTGTCCCTGGGCCGTGTCCCCAAACCCCCTGTCCTCGGGCCATGGCCTGTGTCCCCAAACCCCCTGTCCTCGTGCCCCATCCTGTGTCCTCATGCCATAGCCCATGTCCCTGGGCCGTGTCCCCAAACCCCCTGTCCCTCTCCTGTGTCCCTGGGCCATGTCCCCAACCCCCCCATTCCTGTCCTGTCCCCATGCCACAGCCCTGTGGCCCCAT